AAAAGAAACCAACTGTATGGATGTGTCGAAATAAAACTCAGCAGTGAACCCAGCTTATCATGAAAAAAGCTCACTATACACATAATTATATCCTCCCCACTATCCGTCTCATGTTGCATCCGACGCCTAGCCGTCTCTATATCTCCTGCTCCGCCGCAGCATTAAGCTAAACAAACCAAGAACGATCTGATTTTCTGGTTTGTTTTTCGCCGAATATTAAAAAAACGATTTAAAAATTAAGAGAATCTCAGCCTGAGTTCTCTTGCGCACTTTTGCAGGTTGACGAGTACTTGTAGGCTTCGTAGGGCGGTGCTGATTGGAGGACAGCGAGGGCAGACACTCGAAGGTAAGACAGTTGTGCTCGAGGAGGCGGATTCGGAAGTGAGCACTGCTTTGGTGCTTTCATCTCCAAGTTGAATCCATGTATTAGTGAATCAATATCTAACTACTGTCCACACTACCTTTGCTGTTCTCAGGTTCGACAATCCAGTCGGAACTCAGCAATCGTGGACGCTCTCCCGCAGTTAGCACTCGACTCTCGAGATATACAAGATATACAGCTTTGTGGAGCATTCCTCCACAAAGCACATGCAGCAGTCATCCACAGATCCAGGCACCGTACGTCCGCGTAACCGTAGCCGCAAGCAGTCGACGTGACCACATTCTGAGATCCCAGCAATCCAGCGCCTCGCGTCATCATCCATGCTTCGAGCCATCCAGTTTCTCACGGTGCTGGAAACCTGCTGGATCTCTCATAAAAATGAACTTGTGATGTTTCCCACTAAACACCGTTTTTACCTTTGCACTTCTTACTTTTTAGCCACTGGGGTGGTGATTTGGAATGGTCGAATAAACGAGAAGAAATTAATCCAGTTTAAAGACTTTGCTGCTTTTGCCTTGCCATGCACTCCATCATAGACAACGCGGCGCTTTCCGTTTATCTTCTGTACTAACTTATGCAATTTGTGCACACTGCAAGAACACTAACGTGGTCCATATAATAATACGTAAGAACAAGGGAGCAGCTACAATAAATAAAATCTAGCCACATGACTACCGGTATTGAATATCCGCTTGTACCACATACCTACTAGAAAACCGGTATTTTGAAGCTGGTGTAAAACCTGTGTAATGCCTTGGTGCCTATTATTAGCTCGATACCATAACTGCTCACTTTGTGCTTGTAAACCTGACTTAGTTTTGTATTGCTGACTTGGCTTTTATATGAAAACCGGTACAAATACATCCAATCCACACTGCGAATTAAGTATCCAAATATCCAGAGCTTCCCGCAGCACGGCATTAGTTGTGATCGTAACGTGTATTGATGAATATTGCATCTCTCGACATCCTTCATGGCCCGATGAACTTAATCTTAATCTGGCAATTCACGGTGCGAGTTAGCGTACCTGTTGCCACTGAGATCGGGACATTGATTAGTTGGGTGGTGCTGCAGTTTGCATTAACATGATCGCAAAGCTGCGTCTCCCCTTGGACGATCACCTTGTCACTCCTGTCGACGAAGATTTCAGTTAGTAGACATGGCAAAATAGTCGTTACAACATAATACGAACCTGAAGCAACAAGTGAAGCTACGCGCCTTTTTCACGCGAATCACCAGCGTGCAGTCACGGAGCATCTTAATATGAGAGTCCACAAAGTTCAACTTCACTGCCGTCGACTCCCACGATGTACCAATTTCCGTACAAGCTGTTTTGCTGGTGCTTCCATTACCAACGACCTTGAGATCACGCAGAAGCTCCCATGCACAGTACATCTTCGTTAAGGGCTTCCACGTCCCTTCCGCGCCAATGATTCTAAGTGAAATTGACGGCTCAGGAGATGATGTAGTAGCCAGAATGGGAATGACTGGTGGGCCGGACTCTGGATCACATAGCGTGACGCAATGTTTCAAGTCGGAGTATTCGTCATCACTTAACCAGATGTAGTAGCCCTCTTTTGTGGCACCACGCTGCAATTGGCAGGCTCTTCCGATAGTATCCTCGTTGAAAGATGGATCATGGAGTGCCAACAACTGCAGTAGAAACGCCCTTCGTTCTGCCGGGCCCATACCCAACTCATGTGATGACTTCTCTTCGCCTGCACCTAGATTTGCTCTGTCAAGAACCTCTTTAGCCGTGATCTTTTGGTTTAATGCCGATTTCGACGCTTGGAATATACAATATACGAGAATATCAGCAAATACTTCGAAGCACCTAGCTTTCAACGCAAGCAAACTACCGTACCTTCTAAAACTTGATTCACGGCGGCAACAGCCACGGCATTGGGGATGGCTACAGAGGCTGCTGACAGGGCAGAAATACAAAACTATAGAGCGTAAGTCAGTTAGGCAAGCCCCTTGTCTAGATTAAGTTAACCAATGTCACGTGAGAGAAAACTTACCTGAAACATCTTGGGATAGCGTGTCAAGATGTTGTCGTTAACTGGGATCTGCAAGGCTTTATGCTCACACTTACCCGAAACATCACTGTGGATCCGTAACTCGACATGTGATCCCTTTCTAGGATACAACAACGTCCATAGACGAGGTAAACGGCAACTCTCGCTAGTGACGACAATATTTTTCACCGCTTCCAGTTGATGGCGTAACTGGTGTATTTCATATACTCCTCCGTTTTTCCACGCGCACTGGGTAAACCAGCCGAAATCAGGCGGTAGCCATCGCGCTTTAGCCCGCTGTCGTTTTCCGTCCTCGGGATTTTCCATTAAATCGTTTACACCGCGGTCCTCTCCATCGTCAACAATGAACCGCTTGACTCTGGCGTGCTTGGTTAATCCGGGGTAGTCTTTTTCCAAGATTTTTTCCATATCGGTCACGAAATACATCATTTCTGCCCACGCCAACTTCTCTGTAGGTGCCGCTACTTCAATTAAGATATCATTGTACTGCCCCGTTTTATTTGCACTGTGGTTGACGACGGCGCGAAACTCCCTGCGAACGGAGCTCTCGAAGTATGCGCGTCGAGCGCTACGATGGACGAACGGGCGATAACACTTCACCACAAAATTCACGAAGATAGCGTCGGATACAACAATGGGTAACCAGTACCGCCACGTTGCCACATGCCAACTATCGCCAAAATCCTGTGTCAGAATCGTCTTTTGCGTTGCCAATAACTTCAAATCTGCTTTGGGGGTTTCTCGCGTCTTCCAGTACATCGGAACTAGTATATCAGCCTTGTCAATAGCCTCCATGTCGTTGACCGGGTATACCAAATTTAAGCGATGCAGTAACTGCTTGAATAGATGGACCATCTTGTCTTCAACGGCAGCCAAGGATTTCCACGACGGGAACGTCATCAACAGTGAATGAGGTAGAATACCATTCTGCGAAAGCACTTTGTACTGTTCGTCCACTTCTTCTTTATACTTGTGGTTGATAACCTCACGCACGAGGTCAAGTACGACGGATGGATCGAGAATAATCCACTTTTCCAGCTCTTCGTCAATCCCTTTGTACCACAAAACATCTCCAAGTTCGTGCAGAACCCGAAGAATCTCCCGACAGTCAGTGTCCTGTGGGAAGTCCGGAAGCTTTAGTAAGTCCTTGCACAGCTGACGGACTGACACGATCATCTTGTCCATTCGATCTTGGTTTGTTGCGCCAACAACTGACTGGCGCTTTTCGAGGATGTAGTTGATAACTCGAGTATATGTTATTGGCATCTTAAAGCTGAGGTGCGGTTTAGCAGTGATGGTGTGCTTGATAGAATTTTTCACTTTCTGAATAGACTCCACATTCGTCACACTTGTCGTTACCAAACCCTCCTCGAACTCCTTCTTGAGGGCCGTCGCCGCATGTCCAGTTATCTGTATGCTGCCATCAAGCTTCTCCAGGAATTGGCCCAGACGATCTCGGATATCATGGCTAATTTCACTTCGCGATGAATCAGACACTTCATCGTGCTTCGTCCCGATTAGTTTGAATTCTGCTTCTGGTTGACGTAAAAGGATCAATACGATCCAACGCAGAATATGTTTCTCGAAAAAGCGCTGCGGAACTTCATCTCTCTGCGTCTTCGATTCCTTCTTCGCTTGTTCAAGTATTTCGTTGTATGCTGCAAGGTCGACACATACCAGGTAAAGTGTACGTTTGGAGAAGAAGACTGCATGCGCCACTCGATAAACACCTTGTCCAGCGAAGTCCCAAAACGTGACATCGTGGTGTGTCGCTTTCATCTTGTTACCATCACCATCTACCGTAAATCGGAGAGGAAATACTTCGATGCCAATCGTTCGATCTTCAAGAGGGACCAATACCGACGTTTCTTCTGTTATCGATCTCACCAGACTGGTCTTTCCCCATTTGGTTCGACCAACAACACAAATCTTTTGGCGGTGAACTACCTCACTCGAATCAGTTTTCTCCAATTCAGCCAGATACACCTCAACGGCGTTTTCTCCTCCTTTGACAACTTCCGAGGGAATTTCTAGCAGTGGCTGTTTCTTCTCATAACGATCCTGCCAATACTGGGCACAGGCTAGCATGCCCAACTGATTTATCGCCAATGATTGAGTGGATGGTGGCAACTTGAGCTTTGGTTCTTGAGAGCACAACAAGCGAACAACACCGAGGTAGTCGTCGTCTGGATCATCCTCTTTTACTAGAATCATGTGGCTGAGTGGGTTGAGACCATCCTGAATATAAGAAACACAATTAATAACCAAGGGATCAGCCGTGTTACTGAAATCAAAACAGGACTAACAAACCTTAGTAAGCGCGTTTGCATCGGCACCTTTGTTCAAAAGCAACAAGACTGCCTCGGGGCTGCAACGTGTTACTGCATGGTGAAGCACAGTCAATTGATCCTGCATATGAGTACAGCAAAACACACAAATATAAAATCTCACGAAATAGTCAGATGCGTCTACTGCACCTTCAGGATTTGCGTTGAACGTACATTGTCTGAAGCATTTACATCAGACCCTCGGTCCAGCAGCAGCAGTATCCTCTCTGTGTGGCCAAACGATGCAGCGTAATGAAGAGCGATCTCGCCGTTCTACATCAGAAACAAGCAGGAACAAAACCGAATGCGATATGTCAGATCCTCTCTAGTGCGTTAACGTCCACTACTTCCATAAGAAATCATCAAGACGCACATTGTCTGTAGCAGCTACATCGGCACCTTTCTCCAGCAATAGCGAGATTACGTCGACATCGCCATTGCGTACAGCGTAATGAAGAATGGTCTCGTCATCCTGAGGCAAGCAGAACCAGCAACACAAAGACGGAAGCCACAGTAGCACGTCAACCACTCCATGTCTGTAATCCCGCGTAGCTGTTACTATCAAGAAGTACCTCATATCGAGCAGCTAAGTCGGCGCCTCGTTCCAACAACAGCGACATCACGTCGGTGTTGTGAGAAGTAACAGCGTAATGGAGAGCGGTCTTGCCATCCTAAAACAACCAGAACAACAGCACAAAACGAGGAATACGTCAGCAATCCCATCTTCCTGTGCAATTGCCATTCCGTGTAACTGATACTATTAATATGTACCTCATCTTGAGTACCAACGTCTGCACCTTGTTCCAACAACAGCGACATCACCTCCGTGTTTGCAATAACAGTAGCGTAATGTAGTACGGTCTGGCCAGTCTAAGTCAACCAGAACAACAGCACAAATCGAGGAACACGTCAGCCTCTTCATCTACCGGCGCAACTGCAATTTCACGTAGCTGGCTCTATTAAACAAGTACCTCATCTTGCGCATCAATGTCGATACCTTGTTTCAGCAGCAGCGAGATCGCCTCGGAGTTCGCAATGGCAGCAGCGTAGTGAAGAGCGTTCTGGCCATCCTAAGACAACCAGAACAACAGCACAAAACGAGCAAACATGTTAGCCACTCCATCGACCTGTGCAACCGCAACTCCAACTTGCAGTTTTGTTACTATGAAAAATTACCACATTTTGAACAGCTGCGTCGGCACCTCGTTGTAACAACAACGAGATCACGGCGGTATTGCCACGATACTGCTCTATAGCGCGATGAAGAGCAGTATCGCCAAACTGAGCCAACCAGGGCAAACAGCAAGCCACAACATCACGTCAGCATCGCCATCTACCCTCCCAACTGCAATCCAAAGTGCAGTCCCGCGTAGCAATTATTATCAGAAAATACCTCATCTTGAGAATTTACGTCGGCACCTCGTTCCAACAACAGCGACATCACGTCGGCACCTCGTTCCAACAACAGAGAGATCACGTCGGCGCGACTATTCCTTAAAGCGTATTGAAGAGCGATTGCGGCACCCTGCACCATGAAACAGTTTTATACGAGAGTTATTTTGCGTGCGCCAAGAAATATCTTCATCCCAGTATCGTACTCCGTCCGGTGACTTGGCATCAACCCCTTGATGAAGTAGAGTGATAATAGCGGCCGCTGCTTCTTGGTCCGATTTATCCCAAACGCGTTTCAGACTTTCCTCCTGTTTACATTTCATGAATTTATATGGGAGGCACCTCAAATCTCCACAGTACTCACCGTATCACTTGAAATCCTTTCCCTCTCTAAACACTTTAGAACATCCTGTATTCCACCGAGGATAAGATGCTTGTGATTTAATGTGCACGTCAGTTCTTTCCATTCGTTCCCTAAAATGCAATAGAAACACGTATGTACGACACGTACTGAAGCCAAAGTAATACGTTCTTCGCCCAACACATGCTCACGTTCCTCCACCAGTCGGTCAATCACTGCTTGCAGTGGAGCCTTCATCTGTCATAATTTTTATAATCGATGTTAGGAGAGCAAGTTTATGCGTTCACTATTTCTCCTACCTCGTTCGTGTCCATCGGGTTGCAAATTCAGAACTGGCACTGATGTTGTCAAGAGCCTTGACTGGAACTGCTGAATCCAGAACTGGGTATGCATTTCTCTAACTCGCAGTCGATTCGAATTGCTGTTGGTAAGAAAATCGAAATCTTAGGCAATAATGAGAAGCATGTACTGCTTAATAATTGTTGAGGCCAGAGAATGATTTCAACACTCATTGCCTATCATGGCTTAAAATTTAAATCTGTATCAAGTTGATAAAAAATTCGGCCAACTTGCTCTATGGGTCCACTCTATTGACGCATTTTCGAGCCATCTACTACAACGTGCTATCCACTCTGGCCAGTATAGTATACTGACGCATTTATCGAAGCATTGTTTGTCCTAGGCACTGAAGCGAAACTGGCCTTTTTGGTGGGTCAGAGAAATGTTATGTTCTCTGGATATTTATTTCCAGAGTCCAGAGTTATAGGGGCGATCGGAAAGCGTTGACGATCCTGTCAAATAACATTTGTACGGTCAGATCTGTAATTATCAAAACCTTTGGTGCGAACATTTCTATCTAGATATGACGCAGGAACTAATATACTGTTATTTCGTATGCCAGAATCAGTGAATGTTGACCAAGTCGGCTTAGAACGACATTCAAGCGACCTTACCCGAATGTGATCCAGTCACATTCAAGTTACCTTGTGGCTTCGACTTCTGCTGCAGGGATTGAAGCAACTAGAATGACGGGGCAGACTGTGCCATGCAGTTAGTATATACAACAACACAAACGTCATGCGTCCAGCGTTAGATAGACATGCGTCTTGATACAGTTCATGTACTCAATGCGAAATTAACACTGGGGTACATTTCAAAATGAATTTAGAGACGGCAGATATCAAATTCATAACTGAGAAAAGTAAAAAGGCCCAGTGTCGTTGGCGAAGTGGGAAGCCCATTCTTATTCGCGCTTCAGTTTCTTCGAAGTCTTGTTCTTGCTCTTCGCTTTGAGTGGCATGCCCCCAGCACATTCGCTATGAGCGCTGACGTTGGTCGGTGCTAAGCACTTCTGGTTTACTCCAGGTTTCACACCTACACTGTCTTCTTCTGAGATCTTGGTTTGGGCCTCACCTTTTGGCAGCATGCTCTCAGCGCATCCACTGGGAGTGTTGATGATTGGTGGTGACATGACCTCCGTCGGACCGGGCAGCGTGCCGTCACTGTCGGTCCCTTCAGATGCCTGACTGTTCGGTGCAGCGCTGTCGTGTTCAGGCTCGTCATCATCAACTTTTGTAACAACTTCCACCCGCCTTGCGTTGCCTTCGGCAAGTTTCGGAGAATTCGTGGATGCTGCGAAGAGTTTGATTCCGGTCACGCGCTCAACGTAAATTTCCTGTCCGTCAGGGATGTCAATGATGTCGACTGCGTCGAAGGAACGCTTACTCTTAGCCCACAATGACAAGCGAAAGAAATACTAAGAACCTTTTCTGAAGTCACTGAAGGCCTCTTTGCGAAAAGCTATCCCAAAATTCGTATTAACGAAAATTAAAGTGAATTTTATCCTATGAAGTATGATGAAAGCATTTCAATTGTTTTTCCAGACAACAACTTCTACTCGCTCACATGCCAATCGACACAAAAAATAATGGCAATTTTGATATAAAGAGAGAAATACTCGAAGAAGAAGTAACTTTTTCAAAACTGTACAGCTTCGTATATGCTGAAATAACTTGATATACCCGGTGATGGTGTCGACTGGTGAAGGTATTTCAAATTATTGCACTGCAACGACGTCTACCGGTTCACATGACAATCACACGAAAATATGGATGGCTTGACATAATGAGAGAATTACTTGAAGAAAAAGGAAGCTTTCGAAAATATATACTACTGTAGAGCTTCATGTAAGCTGGAATAGCTTACCTGTAGCTTATATATGCTTCTATTGATGTCTGCCCACCTACAGTAGCAAAAGAAACCAACTGTATGGATGTGTCGAAATAAAACTCAGCAGTGAACCCAGCTTATCATGAAAAAAGCTCACTATACACATAATTATATCCTC